ACCATTTTCGCACTTTGGAAACGCCCTAGCAAATTCTGGACCGATCGTACAGTTCAGTACCAGTGGCAACGACCTAATAACCAACCGGCCGGGCCAATACAGTGTTTGGGTGGTCGCTACTGAAACGTGTCTTCATGTGGCTGAAACTATATTTTATGTATTTAAGAGCTGATTTCCGCCTTGAAATCCTAGTTTTTGCGAAGTTTGATCGACCGGCTTCGGAGGGTACGATATTTCGGGGCTGCAGTCCCTTGGGATACCTTAGAATTTGTACGTGCTACATATTCGTGGTGCCTCCCGATTTATTGTAGCACGAACTATAAGTAGCACTACGGTACTGTAGATTTGCAGCCCCGGAAGCACAACGGAAAGCATGAATATAACTGGTGAATGCATCATAAGTGAAGTTTAGGTTAGTTTAAGTGTTTGCTACCTGTCTTAGTGCTCCAATGTATGACTTTGGCTATTATGGCTGCAATGCAAAGGTTGGCAAACCCTGAATAACTGTCACGGGTACTGGTGCCAGGGTCTAATAACTGTATGGAAATTTATTTGATAAAAGCTGAGGAAAGAGTGTCTGGTAACCTAATGATGAAGTTTATAGCTTCAAAACTGTGCAAACCTGCCTTTTGGGGGAAATTTCTGCACCCTGCCGTATGGCTGCCATATCCATGATGAAGAATAGAGTTGAACTTCTGCAACGGGTACAACGGAAGGACCCGTGGTACCCGTGGCGTTTGCCGACCTCTGGACATGGGAGCAAGTGCGTGTTATAAATACATTTTTTAGGTAGTCCGCCATATGTGTCTGCCAATTGGAGGTAATAACTCTGCCACCCTGCAATCCTTACCACAAGGCCGAAAGCCCCGCAAGCTGTGGTCACGCTACTCGAAAGTCAACCCAAACTCACAACGGAAGATGACGACCAGCAGCTTCTTACAAGGTGCCGAACTGCACTAGTTATCTTTTCTTAAGAGGAGTAGGATATAGTGAGCGTGACCAAAGAGAAAAGGAACCAAACCCTAGCTGGTAAGAGGTAACTCTAGGGTAACGAATTTCAAAGTGTAGACTAAACATGTTCCGCACATTGTAGGTGCCAAATTAGGCCCTCAATCGGCCAGTCCCATCCAGTTTCCAGTCCCCCTGAAATAGCCAACGGCTGCGGGACATGCACGGCCGTCCCCCCGGCTGCACGTTCCTCCCCGCACTGTCGCCACCTGCCATCTGCATAGGTACCCTTGACCAGGCAGTCCAGTATTTATTGTGCAGGTTCAGCAGGGTGTTGTTAATTTGTACTCGCGTACTCATGTTCAATTCGTCACTTGCTTCATCTCTGTCGGCAGCATGAGTATAATAAGCAGATGAATCTCCTAGTCCCCTAATGTACGCTCGGCTGAATCGAGCAAAGTTAAAGTGTGTGCTGTGGCCCAGAGAGGAAGGGAGAGCGAGGGAGATCCAAGGGAGACCAAGGGTGAACCGAAAGGATGTACGCCGAGAGGGGGAATAGGCAGCACTAGCAGCAGCGGTCCGTGCATGGTGCAACACTGATCCGAACAGTAGCTGTCGAACAGTAGCTAGCACCGTCTTATCACCCCACCACCACCAACCGTCCATCACCATGTCGTGAAGCCCTCACACACATCCTGCAGCAAGAAAACGTGAATCCACCAAATGCAGGCCTACAGGTCTACAGGTCTCGGTCCAAAGCACACTTCTCGTGCCATGGTTTGGGGGTGCCACGCGTTTGTGCCCCTGCACAACTACGGCACATGCGCCCAAGGTGGAGCCTCAGATGGAACATGAGGTCGCCACCCTCTGTCCTGGCAACGGCACAAGTGTACGCACAACTCATCACTATGCGTTGTCCCAGAGCAACCGCAACTACATGTCGCCCATGCTCCACAGCCGCGCCTCCAGCTCCTTCGCCGCCCGGGCGTTTTGGTGCCTGCAGAGCATAGTCGTGTGCAGAGCCACAGCAGGTCAGGCCACATCATCGCAGACCATCACATCTCGCATACTCATCCGCACGCTTCAAAGCACAGTGACTGACGCTAGCCAAGCGGAGTAAGCGCAGCAAACCGAAACATAAACATATATACACACACGCCCCAATATTGGCAGCACCGGGCTGCTGCCCTCATGGCCAGCACAACCTCGACAACGCGCCACACAAAGCCGCGCCTCCATGACCTTCGGGTACTGTGCCGACAGAAGCCATCAAGGATGGCACAGGGCGCCGGTGTAATTTCCTTCGTGCATCCAGGCCCACACGACAGGAACAGAGCCCGTGATGTCGCATCCTAAACCGTCTGATCCTAAACCTGCCCTGCGTCATACGGAGGTACGGCGGCATGGACCCACTCACTTGAATAGCTCCGCCTCGAAGCCGTTGCTGCGGTTAACTCCATCCCAATGGCGACCGGGGCGGATATTGTAGCGGTTGGCCGGGGCTGCCACACCTCGCTTCAGCCAGCTGTGCACAGGAACCTCCTGCGGGATCTTGAAGCCTGTGACGAGAGAGGAGGGTTAAGGAGAGGTGAAGGGTGGTGGTGGAGGTTTTATATGAGTGTGACGCGTAGAGGCAGGTGGGAATTGGGGTTAGGGCTCTGCAACAGACAAAAGGAGTTTAACCGTATGAGGCAGTAAAGGTGCTTCTTCTTAATGCCCTTGCATGCACCACGCCACAACCGCTGGCACTGGCACCGGCCCCATCTTCATGTATGTATGTGTGAATGTGTGTGTGAGGGGGAGAGCAGTGCTTTTTTTAAGAAATATATTCCTTAAAAGGAATAAACAGGCCATTTTGGCCTTTGGAAAAACGGAATGAATTGAGGCCGATCCGTACATTTTCATTCCTCCAGCCAAAAACGTCCATTGCTGCCAGATTGCTCCGTAGTGTGCAGAACTTAGTATTATCAATCATGGTCGGATTTACTTATTGCTCACAAACAGTGCCAGAACTATCTATGCATGTGCATGAAGAGTGCGCACATGAACGAAAACACGCCACTCAGTGCGTGCCTCTTGGTCTTTGAGGGGAGTTGTAACTTATCGGGGGGGGGGGGTCGCCCCACACTTACGGAATAAATTACGGCGAACCTAGCAACTTTGTTACTTAGGTTGAAATAAATTGGGACCCACCCTAAATGAAAAAAAATCACTGGGGAAGAGGTCAGATTCCGCATGGGTAGCCGGCCACTTCTGCCCTGCAGCAGCAGTCCAACATACATACCAGCCAACAGCCCCTACCAGCCGGCCTAAGCTGGCAGGTCCGTGTCGAGGAACCATCAGCGCAACATAACGCACTTGCGATTACCCAACACATCCAATCCACGCACCCATCCACCCAGTTCAGCCAGTCAGCCAACTCCGGCCTGCTCACCTGACTTGTTGAGCTTGTCAAGGTCGTATCGCTCCGTCAGCGGTGCGTCCGCCGCCGCTGCCGCCGCTGCCGACTGCTTGCGACGCGCCAGGTGGGCGAATGGGTCCCCGAAGCGGACCTGGTTGCGAAGCGCAGCGTCGTGGGAGCTGTCCACGTCCCCCCGGGCGAAGGGCTTGCTGGCCTGGGCGGGTCAGCAGGTCGGGGCACGACGGGGCGCAACACACGCGGCCGGGGACAGGGACAAAACGGTTAACATGCAAAATAGGTCGAGACGGGGAGTCGGTAATCGAGAAGGCGAGAGAGAAAAAACTGGCCAAGAGGAGAAGAGAGAGATCTTTTCAGGTCGGTCACATTCGGAGGGTGGGTGTTGTCCCTGGTACTTTCCAAGGGTCTATCTGCTAAACGTTGTTCAACAAAACCTGTCCAGTCCACTATACCGTCAAGTTCTTCTTCGCACAGCCCCAAGCACTTCAAATCCACATCGCGCTCTCCATTAGCAACCAAGGCCCCAACCGCAAGCCAAGAGAGGGGTCCCCACCGGAGCCCCACCTCGCCCGCCCGACCGCACCCACCCACCCACGAACAGCTACCCACTCCTCTCAACGGCATCCCCACCTCTGCCACCTGCCACCCACCTCCTCCTGCATGTCCCGCATCCGCTCCTCCGCTTGCCGCTTCTGTGCCAGACCCGCCCGCCACTCCAACGTCTGGTCCTCGTCGTAGATGCTGGGCTTCCTACGGGCCGCCCGCTCGTCCTCCTGAAGGGCCGAGAGAGGAAAAGGGAAGCCGGGAACGGGAAGACCGGGATTTCAGACGGACAGGGAAAGCTAAGCTGAACCTAACCCGTGCGCCCCGACCTAGCCACGAAGCAACCCCGAAAACGACACCCAAGGCAAAGTCCCGCCAAGTCCAACCACCACCGGAAGGGTCGTAGGGAGATCTGCAGCAGAGCTGGAGGATGGGAAAAGGGGCCCGGGTAACTACAGTGGCTGTGTGTGGGAGCGGGTGACCTTCGTGACCTCCCCACGTAGGGGCGACCTCCCACACACGGCCGGACAAACCCCCTAGTGACATGCCTCCGAGGAAGGTGCCTTTCGTGAACGGTAAACCACACCTGTCAGACCGCCTGCCAAGAGATCGGGCAGGTGCAGACATACATACTCTGTCAGCAGGCGGAGGGTCAGGTGGTTGGGGGTCAAGTGCAGGTCGGGGGTGTCACAGTGGGGGGAAGAGCCGCATGGTGTGCCAGGACGAAGGTCCTGCTCCAAGCGCGGCTCACGGCTCCCGTGAGTCCCCGGAGCCGCCCGGTCGGCCTACCTTGGCCTGGCGCGCCTCCTCAGCCGTCATCACCCGCCCCGTGGCCTTGTCTCGATACACCGTTTGCGCACCACGGCCCTCAGCGTTGCGCCTGCGGTGGCGCCGCCAACGTCAACCCGGGATATTCACACCGTCCGGGAGTGGAGCAAAAGGCTGATTG